GTTGGTATTGTTTTCTTTTTTTTTTTTTTCAAATCTGATTCAGGGGGCGGTTTAAGGTTCCTCCACCCCCTGAATCAGTCAAAACCCCAATACACCTTCTGTAAGGGGTATCGGGGTGCTCCCAATCCGATACGTAACAATTTTTTGAACCTTGCATGAGAGTGCAAATAAACTGAGTGTAAATTTTGGTCTCTTCGTGGTTTTGCCAGTGCTCCTCACGCTCATTTGCTGCCTGCTCTGCCCCACCCCCAATTCCTAGGGTGTTCATCAAAAACCAAAAGACTGAATTGAACCAATGAAACCAAACTGAAAAATCTGACCATTTGGCACCCCTCCTGGAGGCACAAAATCAAACCCATGAAACTACAAGCTCTTTGTGGTTTTTCCAGTGCTCCTCACTCTCAATTGCAGCCTGCTCTGCCCCACCCCCAATTCCGATGAAACCAAACTAAAAAATATGGTTAACCAAAATTGACTGGCCCAATTTTGGATTCAATGTTTTGGAAAACCAAAGGTATTGATTCGATTTTGGTTAACCAATATGAAAACTGGCAGTTAATCAAATTGACCGATATACAATCATATACATACATACATATATATGTAATTATAATATAAATATTATAATATATTATCAATAATATATAATTATACAATATAAATATTCAAAATCCATGTAATATAAGAAAAGAAGCAACATGGCGTGGTCCCAACTTTATATGAAAAAGAATTGATGTAAAAGGAAGGCAGTGCAAATTTTGCATCAGTTTTGGGATTGCACTGCTAGTAAAAAAATGCAAATGAGACAAAAATTACAAATTTTGTACCAAATAAAAGTGCAAATCATAGTTACAAATGCAAAATTGAACTGGATGCAAAATTTGTATCCATTTCAGATTTGCACTGCAAACAAACAGAGCCTCTAACAAGTAACAAGGTCTCTGGATCCAAATCCACTATGATGCAGAATGCAGGAACCACAAGGGCAATGTATATATATATATATATATATATATATATATCAAACAGCTGGTTCAAATTGAGAACTAACAATCTAGTTATGAGTAGGTGGAGCTAAGATTTCTAGGAGTGGACTGAATCCTGCCCGTGGACTGATGCCAAATTCACAGGCAAGATACAGTTTATAGGGGGGGCTACTAGTAGACTAGGAGGGGGCTGCAATTTCAGATTTCTGTTGTGGATTGCAGTCCACTTATCCTGTTCTAAAAGTACTAGGGTTAAATGTTACAAAAAGCATAATGGGGGCCAAGTGTCATAACCCCCTAAATGTAGGGAGTGTCTGAAATTTACTCTAAATTTTAATTCAAAACCCTCTCTCTCTCTCTCTCTCTCTCTCTCTCTCTCTCTCTCTCTCTATATATATATATATATATATATATATATATATATATAAAGCGATTAGGTCCCATGTCAAAAACCCTTTCCTTCTCCCATTCCCCCTTATCTCTTCTCTCCTTAAACCTCTCTCTTTTCTCCCTTACCCCTTTTTAACTCTCATTCCTCTTCTTCCTTACCCAACCCACCCATTAAGTAGTCACGTGATAAATATGTGTATTTACTAAAATTAATATTTAGTGTATTTTCAGTAATTATTTATTATATTTGTAATAAATATATTTTAACAATTATGTATAAATCTATTTTTGTTTTGTTATTTAACAAAAAATGTTCAATAATTGTTGGAGGTTAAAATATTATTGTTTAACTTTTAAATTTAATTTATTGTACTTATTAGATTTATTGTATTTTTGTTATAATTTATTGATTTGTATTTGTTGGAGATTAAACTATTATTGGATATTACACTATTTATTGACTAATTTAATATACTTTTAGTACTTATTGTGCTTTCATAATTATTGTATTCATTGTATATTTATTAGCTATTTTTTGTATTTTCCTTATAAATTTATTTTCAAAAATTGTTTATTTTCACTATAAATTCTCAATAGTTATTGGAGATTAAACTATTGGTATTTATTAAAGATTAGACTATTAATTTAGCTAAAATTAAGAGTGTTCATGGGTCATTTCGATTCGGTTGAAGGCTATTTGGCCAACTAAACCAACTTAGTTTGGTTGGGGAGTTGGTCACCCGAAACTAGATGTTCATGGGCTGGGTAGCCCAACGGGTTGACCCGACTTGACCCATTATAAACCGGGCTTGGTCAACATTTTAAGCCCACAGGCTTAGGCTTGGCCTTTAAACATCAGGCCTAACTATTTTTCGGACTGGCCTTAGGCTTTCCCAAATAAGCCCAACCCAAGCCCGACCCAATAATATTATATATAGTAAAAAATATAATATATATATATACATATTAATAATACATAAAATATATATTATATAATAATAAAATTAGTAGTGAAAAGGTATTATATACTATAATATATATAGAATATTATAGAATATATAATATATTATTAATAATGTATAATTAATATAATATATAATATTTGTCTAAATTGGGCTTTGGGCTTGGGCTCAAGATCTAGGCCTGATGCTACTAGAAAACTGACTAACTCAAGCTATATATAGAATATTATAAAATATATAATATATTATTAATAATGTATAATTAATATAATATATAATATTTGTCTAAATTGGGCTTCAGGCTTGGGCTCATGATCTAGGCCTAATGCTACTAGAAAACCAACTAACTCAAGTCAAGTCGGGTTGGTCAGTTTCATTGGTTTTATCAGTTTGATGAACCATCCTATCTAATATTAATTATTGTATTTTTGTGTTGCAAAAAAAAAAATTATTAAATGTAGTATATGAAATATAAATAATTATTAATTATTTAAAAATTAAAATACAAAAAAATTGTATATTCTTATGTATTTGTATTGTTTAACTTTTGCTTAACAAAGCTCATGCATCACACGGGTCCCCGCTAGTGTGTGTATATATATATATACTTCAAATGGAAAAGTTCGCTCATATCCTTTTAATCAAATATAGTTCAGTTAGCTGCCTCAAATTAAAAAAAAAAAAAATCTAACGAAAAGGATTTCAACATGTTATAATAATGTATTCATAAAAAAAAATGCTATATTGATAAAGTGCGTTGTCTAATTTTGTAAAAGAAAATCTTAGATAGAACTCATCGCATGTATAGATATATGTGGTGGGTCCCTGAAAGTACAAGGAACATTCCTTACATGTATGTATGGATTTGTGACTATATCCATGTTCCAGACCTCCCTGTTTTCAATCATTGATCAATAACAGACAATTGTACAACAGAATTCAAGATTGAAAATCAAGAGAAAATATAAACCTCGTCATATCCCGTCCTGCAACCAGGAGAATTGAGGTTAGGACTAATCATCAACTCAAAGCATAGTTTTTTCGCAATGATATTTTGGTCTTACCCAGCTTTCCCACTATAAGTAGGCCTGTAATTGTAAATGAGATTGTCGAGAACCTTTTGGGCAGGTGGCCTGTTTAAGGATTTTCTTGCCTCACTGCATCATAACAAGAAAGAAAATATTCGCACTGATAATTCCACCTCTATAGGGTTCAAGGAAAAATGAACTGGTAAAGAGCAGCTTACTCCCAAGTTTCAGTCTCATTTTGCTTGTAGCAAGAACTTTAGATGTTTGGCAAAACCAAAGAGCATAATTTCTGAGACTCTGTACTAACTGAAACTATGGTTTTAGACAAACTTATCAACAGCCATGAAATGCAGGGAGGCTTTTCTTGATTCAATAATGTGGTCCATGTTTGACCAGACAGTGAAAGAAAACTAGTTAACCTAAAGGGCCATTGCCCAATGTTGGTCTCAGCTATCTAGGGTCTTGGGGATATAGATATAACCTTTGGCATTTTCTTGCAGGAAGTGACTGCTCTTAGACTCAAACCCGTGTTCTCGTGCTTGTTAGCCTAAGGACATAACTCCAAAGACACCATAAAAGAATAAACTGATTTGCAAGCCCTTGCAGGTCAAACTATCTACTACTGAAATAGGAAATTCCAATTGTAACCCAAGAATCAAGATCCACATTTCAAACAAATGCAATGTTTCTGGGACAATAACAACCTGATAAAATAGTTGGCAACATGTTGAGTCACTAGAACTGCATCTTCAGTGTGTGGAATCATTGATAAACCCCATTCAAATGCATTTTTCTGCAATGAAATTGGTTAGTTCAGTTTTCAGGTTGACAAGAAAAGCGTCAGTACTATTACTTACTTTTACCAATGCAATTACCACAATCAGCAGATATAAAAAATGACATAGACCGAACATGAAGCAAATCCATTCCACATTTCTTGTGGTTTACCATGCAATAAAGCACACATTAGAGAGTACCAGTGAAGAAGTGAAAGACAGCTGTAAATTCTATGGAGCATTGAAGAAAATAGGAAGCATAGACCAACTAGCCTATATTAGATCATTAGGGTAAGATACTTCCTCCATGATTCATCTTTTGGAAGAATAATGTCAAGAAAGATTTTGTGACATTCAACCCATTTTAGGTGTAGAGTGACTAACCAATAATTCCTATGCAATAAAGCAACTTTAACTTTAAACACAGCTTAAATAAAGATAAACTACCATGAATCTAAGGATGGAAAACACTTAAATTAAAATAAATAGAATGCTCTTAGGCTGATTCTAGGACCATCATGATGCCCACATCAGCCATATCTATACATGTCTTCAAATTCTAGGTGAACCAACAACCAATCAAAAACATGAGGGCTAATATCAGCATAAAGTCTTTTGCTTTCTCTCCTTTTTCCTTCAAAAATTCTTGTATTTCACTCTTTCCAAAATACAGCAGAAAATGGAATGTGGAAAAACTGTCACTCATCACATTCTTATTTCTGGAAAATGGCCATAACGGAAATATTTCATGAGGTTCAACAGGCTTGAACTATATATATTTTTTTTTTTTTATGGATAAACGAAAGTTTATTAAAAATTGATAAAAAATTCAGTATATATACGATCATGCTAGGCATCCCCTGAGAAGGGAAAGTTTCCGCACTCTATCCCTCATCAGCATCTTAATTTCCTTCGTTGTATTTCTGCATGATCAGGGGGTCAGTTCTTGCCAACATGTCAACCAGTCCATTTACTGATCATTAAACCCATTGTACATCTACCATTCTATCCCTCATCAACATCTTAATTTCCTTCTTTGTATTTCTGCATGATCAGGGGGTCAGTTATTGGTTCGTCAACCATTGCACCACCAAATCTCCTTCTATTATTAGGTTTTGTAGCCTTGTAGGTGGCATGTTTTAGCCACCCCAAGTCCTTGCACAACTGCAGTAATCTATATTTCTATGGAGTTCCCTTGGCCAATAGATCCTGAAAATAATGCCAAAATGTTCTTGTTGGAATCTTTGAAGGCTCTCTCAAATCCAGAGGGCCTTGGATTTCCTCTGCTACAGCCATCAAAATTCATCTTTATCAAATTCACTTGAAGAACTGACCACTGAGCTGAAACTTGGGACTTGGCTGAAGAGGATCTTGCTACCAATCCCCAATTTCTTACAATGTCATCAGTAGAGAAGAGTTCAAACTATCTCAATGTTTTAACCCAATGATCTAGCCTTGCTATGATTAGTTCAATGATGCCATCTTTGGTTCTTATCTCCTTGTTAAACAGCCTCACATTCCTCTCTTCCTAAATTGTCCATAGTGTGTCTGCCTTCATGCATTTCCTAAGAGTTCTTGCTCTTCTAGTCCATTAGCTGACAAAGTTGGGTTGAAAGAGACCACTCACATTAGAAGGAAGTATTACCTGCAATTAAACATATCAAAAAACCACTCTCAAATTCCTGCTACAACCCACAAAAGGATAGGAGATAAGTATCTATCCCATTTACAAAACATAAGAAGTATACATAAGGTACTCTGCTTCAAATTTTCAAGTGGAACACTTCCCAACAAAAGGCCCTCTGCTCCAAATTTCACCAAGAAAGGGTTGAGGAGGGGAGAAAAGGAAAGCAAAGCATGCAAGAAAGAACTACAAGAAAGTATTTCTGAGAAAGAAAGAGTCCAAATTCTCCCATTGACCTTAGAAGGATCGAGGAACACTCCTAACGCTAAGACAAAGGGAACCTCTAAATCCCTCAAACCCCTTATCAAACCAATGTCCCAATTCAAACCAGCTAGGGAGAAAATTTTTCAGTTCTGGTGTTTCCACTTTGATTTTTTTTTATACTTCAATTTTCTGGTAAAACATCCATAGCCCAAACAGCTTGTCTCATTATCTTGCTACCGGCACATTTTCAAATCAAATTTATTTTTGGATCCATAAATCAAACTTTATTATATGTGTGTGTCTGTTTTTTTAGTCCTTCTCATGAATGTAAAAAGAGAGAAGCAGAACCACCATAACTTAATAAATGCCCATTGGGGAGAAAACTATTCCATACTTAAGAAATTAAAAAACAACTTCAGGTATGAATTCGACTTGAAAGCCATTAACTGAAACTACTAAAGAAGGCATGATACCATGAAATAGCCAAACTGGGTAAAAGAAGATTTTTTCCACATACCCATTAATTAAAATCATAAATTAAGCAAGTGCAATACAAAGGAATGGAAGTGCATGTGAAAATAAGTATAACAGTCACCTCTGGATGCCACTGGAATGCAGATACAGGATAATTATGTGATTTAACAGTTGAGACATAAACCTGATAAGGAAAAAGAATCCAACAATGAGGACTCATAGTAAAGGAACAAAGTTGAACATGCAAACATGTCTGCAATAATATCAATCAATAATATATGAGTGAGCAGTTCTATTACCTTCCCATCTCTATCTTTGCTTGTTGTCAAAATCCTGAAAAAACTGGATAGTGAAGGATTCTTTTGGAATCTTTCTAATGATATACCATACTGTTACATTTAGAAATCAGATAAATTCAGTATCATGTTCTCTGATCACAAAAAATGGTAAGCCATCACATTTGCACCATGCAAATGAAATTCACACGGCAAAGAGAGCCTTAAGAAATTGGTCCCTAACGTCATATAATGAGAACAAAAGGGTGAGGATTGAAGTGCTTTGAAACTCACTTGATGGTTTTCCATGACAATGCAATCTGTTGTCAACTTCTTTAGCAATTCTGGTGAAAATCTGCATACGCACGCAGTAATGAATATTATTACAACAGTAGCTATAAGAAAGCCATTCCTATTTTAGCAGCCAATATGATAACAGTGAATAGCATATTATCATATTAAAATAAGCTGTGATTAAGCATCAAAATATAAAGCAGGCATAAATCATTATCCTTCATTCCTCTGATCTCCAATTACAAACTTCTTCAGCCCTATCTAATGTGTTTTCTAATGTTGAAAAACAATTGTAGATGGAATTGCATGAATGCCTCCAATAAGGCGGCTGAGTTTAAACAAAACAAAAAGAAATAAAAGATGGACCACATGCTTAAGGCCCAATATAAAGAAAAACAACTTAGAAATAAAACCAATAAAAGATGCAATTTAAGGCCCATCCTGCCCAATCTTTCTACAAGTTGTAAGGGTATAATTGGGATTTTATGTAACAAATATGCAAATCTGCCATTATGTGTCTTGTAGAGAGGCATTCATGTCTTTCTCCCCCTATTTGCTTAACCTAATAAAATATTATCAGTGGGGGTCGTGGGTCTAAATTGACTAACCAACATTCTTCCCTCATTCTCTTCCTTCTTCCTTCTTCTTCTCTCTCATACTGCACATACATCAAGAATCACCTCTAATAAATCAACTAGGTATTAGAGCATAGTTGAGGCCTGAGGAAGCTTCTTCACCACTAATAACCTGCTGATGTTATCAGGCAATATGGATGATCATACCTTTTTAATAGCTCCAGAGGAGATCTCCAGAGCAATGTTTTAAAATGTGGAGGTGTGACGCGAGGCATTCCACTACCTAGAGGCATGAGGCATAGTTCAGACAGTAAGAGGTGTAAGTCTCCCAAACACAAGGAGGTGTAAGCCTCCTTAAGAGGAGGGGGGATGAGGAGGAGGAAGGAGGAGGAAGAAGAGGAAGAAAAATCTCATTTTTCTTTATTTTTAATAAAAAATCTTTTATATTAAGAAAAATGAAGATGCACAGCACTAGTTGAGGCGTATGCCTCATGAAAAAAGTGTATGAGGCATAGGCCTATTGCACCTGAGGCGTATGCCTCAGAGGTTTCAGCACCTCTGAAATATGCCTCAGGGCGTTTTGGGAGAGCCTCACCTTTTAAACACTAATCCAGAGCTTTATGTTCAACCAAATTACATGCTATCCGTGCCTTATTTATCAAAAGAAATGGTGAGTTCTTGACTGTACTAATTGTAAGTGTTCATGATATTGTTGTTACAAGAAATATGCATACTATAATGCTACTTTGAAGCAATTCCTAGCTACAAAACTTGAAATCAAAGATCTAAAGGTAGATCATGAGAATTGGGGACAGAAATTAGAATTATAGGTTGGAATTCTAATTTTAGGCATTTGAATGTGCCCAATTCATATGAAGAAGAAAATCTATGGAGTTCAAGTTCACAAATTTTGTGGGAATTTGATGTTTTGAACCTCCACTCCAAGGGGTGTTTTTTGCAATTCCTATGTCCATAGGAGTTAGGTAATAGACCAACTTTACAATGACAAAGATGCCACTCTCTTGAAATATTTAGTCATAACATTATGTAATGTCATAAATACAATAATAAAATAGAATTATAATAATAAAAAAATATTTAAAAAGCATTCAGTAAATATTTAATAAATAAATCAAAAAGCAATAAAATAATAACATTTAAAAGCAATAAAAACAAAAAAACTACTTTTAGATTATATATACAATCGTTTCACTCATAACATCACATGATTTAAGAATTTGGTAATAATAAGAAAATGGCAAAGTATCCTTTCATTTTATCTTTAACAATCTGAAAGGAAAATATATAAAATGATTGAAAGTAATAAGAAATTACTTGGATTTAGTAATATTAATAAGAGATACATTAAAAAAGAAAAGAAAACAATTGTATAGAACATTTAAAAATAATTGTTTAAGAGAAATAATTAATTTCTACTTATAAAATATGATAGTTTTACAATTTGATTTATTGTTATAATATCAAAAGTAGTACTAGTAGTAGTAGAATTTAGAACATAAACTAAATATGTTTATAAAGACTTTTATTTAGTAAAAATATGGCAAATCAATCTTTTAAATAGGATGGTTTAAGAGACATTTTGAACTGTTCTTGACCAAATGAACCAATTCTCATGTGTTGCCCAAAGCCCCAAACAGTGAACTCCTGTTCATAGGAGTTCTAATACATAAATATTCTAATTCATATTAATATGAGTTTTCATGTGAATTGCAATTAACACAATTTAAATGCACCCTGATAAATCTTACATATTTTATAGGCAAAGAGGTATCTCAGTGTAGAAGGGATATTTTCATGTTTCAGAGGAAGTATGTTTTAGGTTTATAGAAAGATACTAGGAAATTAGGGATTAAGCCAATTGAAACCCCTATATATTTGAATCACAGACTCAACAGTGAGCATGGAGAACTACTTGCAAACAATGACCAGTTTCAAAGACTCTTGTACTTGCATCTCACTCAACTAGATATCTGGTATGTCATTAGTCTAGTCAGTTAGTATATTCATCAGCCTTGGGTACCCTATATGGAAGAAGCTGAAAGAATATTATGTAACTTGAAAGGATATCCTGATAAAGGAATTTTATATTGTAATAATGATTACTGTATAAGCCTATACAGGTGCAAATTAGGCTGGTTCTATTAATAATATATCATATATGTTTTACTTCGTGCTATTGCACCATTTAAGGTGGAAATTTAGTATCTTAGAGAAGTAAAAAATTAGTTTGTTGTAAGCTAGGTTGGGTGCTCAAGTTGAATATAAAGCAAAGCTATAGCACACAGTTTTTTAGTTGTTATGGCTAATAACTCTCTCAGGGGAGTTAGGAGTAACTTCAAATGGTCCCATTAAAATATGTCCTAACTTACAAAAATTAAACAGCAATTAGCATTTCATATAACCCCATATAGCACGACTGAACCAAGTATATTTAAGTGGACAAACATTTTCTTTGGGAGAAAGTCATGTGAACAAGGTTTGGTTTGTGTAAGAAAAAGAGAAAGAAGAGAAGACGGAGAACAGAAAGAGAAAGTAGTCATGTAGGAGGAGAAAAAGGGAATGCCAATTAGAGAGAAAAATCAACTAGCCCAATTGGCCAGTCCTCTATTATACTGATCTTCTTAAAATAACATGACATTACCATAGTACCTTCACTTCAGTGAGAATAGAAGGACTATAATGCCCACTTAAGTAAGAAGTAGACAATATCCCTTTCTAACCAACTAAATCCCAAATATTACAGCATCGACTAAATCCCAAATAAATCCTGTCATAGTCTAACCAGGCACTGGCATTGCTAAGTAGTGAGAAGGTGAGACTTTTTACTGTGTAAAATCTTCTTTTCTATTTTCCTTTTTTTACTTTTTAATAATTACCAAGATGGAAGCACTAAATTGAAAGGATGGCGTGTACAAGATCCAAGGAATAATATTACAAAGATAAAGAAGATAAGTATTTATACTGACTTGGTTCTCCCATCTCATCTACACTCCTGAGAATGTTTATAACCCTACTTTTTTCCAAGGAAGCTGTTTCCACATCTCTGAGAATGTGAATGAAGAAAAGGGTCATTAAGGATCTGTCTGCTTTTAGCAGAGACTTGGGACCAAACCCAGTTGGTAAGGTCTCTGGATGGTTGTAGTGGAGACTTAAGATCGACTCCCACATTCACCAGTTTTTGGTGTATTGGAGTTTGCAGGAGGACTACCCCCTATGGTATAGCTCATTTGCCTATTAAAAAAATGATACAGGAGTTTTTCAATAAATAAATAAATGAGGTCATTAAGGATCTCTTTGCCCATCTCATGTCCATCCCCAAGCATGTGCAAGTTCATATCATTTTCCAAAAAAGAAATCAGTATTTCTGTCTTGACCATACCAGTTAGGAATGATTTGATGCAAGTAGAAAGCTCTATAAGAGCAAGGGGAAGGTCAAACAAAACGTGAAGTGTTAAGAATGATCTAAAGACTTGCAATTTAACAGAAAGAATGACATTTTGTAGAATGCAATAATGGCATTCATGTAGCCAATCAAAATGGCTAGGGTTAAAGCTGAGTTGAGTAGAAATCCACATTTTTTTCTAGTTCCTAAGCAAGTGAGAGAAGACATATACCTCTGGAAAACTGTGCCTTCAATTATTGAATTCTCTGTGAATTGGAGAGTAGATGCCTGATTTAATGCATTAAACCGTTCAAGAATGTTGACATCCTATAATTCAAAATAAAAGCAATGTTATGCTGAGATGAAAAATATTTACATAAAAATAGAAAAAAAAATGTGGAAAGATATCCCAGAATCATGAATAAGACTAGCTTAGTAACCCAAAAATATGGTTATCACTTATCAGCTAATAAAACTTTCATAGGGGAAATCTCTTAAACTACCCCTAAGCTTTAGGAAATGGACTAACTCTACCCCTACCGTATGCAAAATCCATTAAACTACTCCTGAGTTTTCTAACAATTGGACAAATACCTCCCATTTATCAGTTTTCCATCACATTCTGTTCATGTGACGTTATGTAACTGTTATAATATTTTGAAAACACAATTTTTCCCTCTCTTCTTCACCATCTTTGAAACTCTAACCATTGAAACCTTCAAACAAGGTACAGAACCAGAACATTTTACTTAATTAGATCATTTTTTCCTGTATTCCTCCAATATATAATTTTTTTTATTTGCCACTCTGCCATGAAACTTCCTCCACACGAATGCAAAAATTTTCTCTACCTCAACTCCAATTGCTTTGTAGCAACATTGCAAACGCAACCATATCCTAGGGTACGACAGCCTCAGCATGGTTCTTATACAGTCCCCCAATGTTTGTATTTAACTTCAACCTGCAAAAGCCAGAATTTTTTTCTACCTCAACTACAATTGCTTTTGCAGGCACTACTGTTGCTGCCATTGCTACATAATCCTCTGCTTCTGCATTCAGCAAAAGCCCAATCTTGGATTCGATTTCTACAAGAAGATTCATTTGTACCATTCACAACAAATAGGGATCCTATTGATTCATATATGAACACTTTAAGCAGGAGAAAACCTCCCATTAAGATTTTGTCATTATCATTTCTTTGAACAGTATGGAGATTTGGCATGTCTACACCCACCAGTAAGCCCAGACACTTTTTTGACTTCACAAGAAATCAAGAAATTGTGACTTTTAGCAAAGAGAAATGGTTTTTGGGAACTCAATGGGGGAACCAAGTTCACAATGGAAGAAACTGAGATGGTTGAATTTGGATGGTTGAAACAAAGCAGAACTCCTGACAAACAAAGGAGCTTCAATCTTCAAGAGATATCAAGATGGATACCAAATTGCTAATCCATGATTTACGGACAACAGGATGAATATGTTATTATCCGCACTCTGTAAAGAACTAAAGTCCATTACAAATACCATAGAATGTCAAAGTGTGATCTCCCACAAGATCAACAAATAGCCATGCACAATAAAGAAATGTATTAGCACACACAATTCAAAAATCACATCAATCAAATGGATGTTGAGAGGTTTAATACAGCACCCTTCATCTTGCACTTCTAGAACTACATAAGAACACAGCTAATGATGTAATCAAGTACAAAAATAATCAGAATGATTTCCATAACAAAACACAAATACAGGGGAACAAAGGAGTCAAGATTGATTACCTTGCTGATGATCATAGTAAGAAGTTCAAAGCTTAGGCAAATAGCAAAGACGGGAAAATGGTCTCCTGAATCATTTTTTTCCAAAGCATGCTGCAAAAGAATAAAAACAAAAGCAAATGACTTATGCACATGAATAACAGTCATGATCTTCATAGTCATTTCTTATCCAGAGGGAATTCTCCTGGAAAATCAAGACCAGTTTCAACAAATTAATTCTCAATAAAGTATACAATTTGAACTCTCTTGGGGATGACCAAGATGATAAGAAGTCACAGAAATATTGTGTTTGGGGTAATTAGGTAGAATGTAAATGGCATCCTTCCCTGGAGGTTCAAAATCCACATGCCACTACCCGAAGGCAGTTTTCTGGATTGGGATAGAAACAGCAAAGATGGATGGAAAATGATTTCTGGATCTACCACTAACTATATTTCAACACTTACTCTAAAAAATAGTAAGAGCCGCATAATGTTTTAAAAGGCACATCTGAGGCACATAAGTCAGGCGCATTTTAAGACATGCACCTTGCTTGAACCCAGGAGATGCCCCTTTTTAAAGGCACATACCAAGTGCGCCATATATGGTTATACCTTGGCCAAGACATACACCTTTTATAAGTTTGCTTTTTTTTATTACTTTTTTAGACATTGTCATATGCTTCACATCTGTGTAATGGCCTACTAACTTCTAAGCTACCTTTTATTGGTCTTTGTGCACTAGTAATGGTCTATTAACTTTTAGAAGAAACAAAAACAAAGATCTTTTTAATGCTCAAAACCTAGCTGTGGTGAATAGGATCCCAAATAGCAAAGTTTTCAGTAAAGTTGCAACAATAATACAATTGATCTAGTTTCAGGCCTATCAACCCTCCACCTCATAAGGGCCCTTACCTCCTAAAATTAGGAATGGAAGACGCCTAACATCATCACACTAGCTTATTTAAGTAACATGACTATGAGAGAAAACAGAGACATTCTGACTTTCACATGCTTGAGTTTTTGACTTGAAGCACTTTGGCATGATCCACATCTGTTTACTTTCACTTTGACATTGAATTGTTTTATATGTAATATGTTATGCTTAAGTATTTTAATTTGATCTAATAGGCATTTTAAATCATTTAATTTCTTTTCAAATTCGTATTTCTATATTTTTATGTATTAATGCTTTTCATTTTTTTTCCAAAATTTTGAGCCTTGCTTCATCTAGGCACATGCCTTACCTTGCACCTTGGGTGCTAGAAGGCCCTTGTGCTTTTCTGAGTCCTCTCACTTTCAAAACACTGGAACCACACAAAAAGTAGAGAGTACCAAACTCTTTTCTGCAATTTCTGTAGTTTTGGAAGACAATGTTATGGGGTTGGAGGTAGATGCCCATGTTTCCACTTCTACCCTTCAAATCCAAATACAAACAAATAGAGAAGTCCATAACAGTGTTTTAGAAGGCGTGAAAAGTGTATGCCTGGAAGTGCGCCTCCAGGAAAGGCTCCCCAAAATGCCCTGAGGCATACGTCAGAGGCGCTAACACCTCTGAGGTGTATGCCTCATATGCTTTTTTCATGAGGCGTGCTAAAGGCATACACCTCAACTAGTACTATGCATCTTCATTTTTCTTAATATAAAAGAAAATATTTTTATTAAAAATAAAGAAAAATGAGATTTTTCTTCCTCTTCTTCCTCCTCCTCATCCCCCCCCCCCCCTCTTAAGGAGGCTTACACCTCCTACGTTCTGAACTATGCCTCATGCCTCCTGCTTTCATTAATCAATAATGATTACACTTACCTATCAAAGAAATATATGAATTTCCCAAATAGTAATTGCTTCTCTTCTTCATATTTGTCTATTCCTTTGGAGCACAACCCCAAATTTGGGCACATTGGTGAAGACTTGGGAAACTTTTTTTATTAATAATAACAATAAGATGTACATATATACATGCACACTTCTAGAGACAAGACCTCTTATCTCCTCCCTTCTTTTTCTTACAATTGTGCCCAGAACATTTGATCTCTCCCCACCCCTTGCTTTGCTAAAGTATCAACCATGCTGTTATCTTCCCTTTGTACCCATTGAAATCTCACTTCCACATCTCTCATCAGCCACCTATGCTTTCTTACTTCATTTCTGTAAGGAAACTGCAAGATCAATTAGTTATGATCGCTCCAAAGAAAAAAAAAATTGTAAAACCATTGGTTTCTAATGAACATGTTCAGAAACATCTGTGATTTCTTAGGGAGAATGCAAAAAGCATCCTTACTGATAGTAATGGCATTAACATTATGGCCTCCAGGAGGAAGAATCAATTTGCCACGACTTAAGACTACAGAAATTCATATGCAAAATGATAATGGATGCCAGAGAACCTCTGGTTATTATGGATTGTATCATTCTCTGTATCTTCTAAACATTACAGGAAACTTCTAAAATGCACCGAAGTCAAAGAATAGACTCTATACTCAAATGCACTTTGGATAGTATTGGAACTTGAATTCAACAATAGCTTTTTGGAAAGCCTAAGCCAGCTGAGCTCATGGTTAATCAACTTACACTGTGAAACACTAGGATTTTTTAACAACTTCTACCTCGAGAAAGAAATTTTCCAAAGTGAAAAGGCAAAAGAATGAAATGAAAAGCATAGGTACCATAACTGTTTCAATCATGATTTATAACAATGCATATATTTAGTCAAAATAACGAGAACCTGCCTCTATTTTGGTTAAGTACCTTAAATACTTTCTCAACAATCTCATAAAACAAACCAGTTTTAGCCCACCCTCCAGGTAACAGCACTCCATTGACCAGACTCAGCTTCTGCAGTAAATGAGAAATATCAATCAAATGCAGTTCCATATAACCATAAGAACAAAACATTGAGATTGAGAACCTCACTATGAGCCTTAACAAAATATTCTTCGAGTACCAATATAGAATGTTGCCATTACAGTGATACTAAGCAAAAGAGGCCAATCAAGGACTAAAGTGGAGTTTTACAGCCTGCATAAATGCTCTATACGACTCTATTCTATACAGTAGAACCAATAAGGTCCAAATCAAGTGCATTTTTAAGAACTATGAAAGCACTTCAATTTTTTGATGATTCAAATTTCATATAAAAAAAATCAATGTAATATGAGTACCTAATATTGATGCACGGCTATGGGTGGGTATGCTAGTCGGGTCATTTAGTGAAGAAGTCCAAACAGCCTAGGAAACTTCCATGTGGCAGGTTAGTTCGGGGCTCAACCGCTCAAACAGAGTTCTTAAATTCTTCTCTTCACTCTATGTTCATGAAATAAATTGAAGCTCAAAACACCTTCTCACATGTAAGGGGGAAAAACTTTTTATCGACATCTTTTAAATTTCAAAAAAAAATAATAATAATTAAGAGATTGGAGAGCTGTTATTAATTGGCTAAAACTGCAATACAAGGATGGGTATATGGTTGATGTGTACTGCTGAAGTTAATAAATGACCAATCCAGAGAGTTCCCTATCTGATGAATGATTTGGTCCGGCTACAGAATTCCTCTGCATGGCAGGAATAGGTAAGTCGTATAGGAAAGCTCCCTATTTCATCCATTTAGGAAGCACCTTACGTGTTATTGGTTGGTGCAGAAAATCTGGTGAGGAGGATGTGAACTCCTCGCTTATATCTCTTGTCAAAAACATTTTTGTGGGTGAAGTTCTACTCTCAAAAGCAACAAAAACATAACGAATTCCAAAGGACTAATTAAGATATTATTACACTCATAGCTTCTATATCCAGCGTCAAAAATCATAATTTCAAGTAAAAAGAAATAAATTACTCACTTCAGCGAGAATCTCCGGCGGCTCGTTATAGATTAGAGGAATAACGCGAGCACCAGCAGATTCTACGAACTTCACATAAGAAGCAGTAATTAACGAAGCATTCGAAGCATTAGGCCCATTGGAAGCACCATGAGCAGGATGAGTCAAAATCCCGATCACAGGCCGAAAATAGAGCGCCGGGTCAGGCGCCTGGCAGCTGGACGACCGCCAAGAACCAAGACCAATCTCTCCAGGAAGTAAAATCGACTGAGAATTCGCACGAATCAGCTCCTTCGACAAAGAAATCAAGATAACTATCCATAAGCAACTCCACATCTTCGAGTACTGAGAGGACAACATCGAAGACAAAGACGAAGAAAGACGCAGACGAATTCGCTGTGGTTATCGCCGAATTCAGAGAATCCTTATGGATTAATGTCGTCGATGGGCTGTAAAACTAATTTAAGTCTCAATTCTGATTCTTTAAATGTCGTCATCGAACGAAAAATGTCAAAATGCGAAAGGCAAGCGTCAATTTTCTGGCCAACGAGCAACGCATGGTAGAATAGCGCTCGCGCTGATAGCGATCGCACGGTTTACTCAGCGCGAGCGCTCCGGGTAAATCATTGTTCTCGGCCGGGATCTAGCGAACTTTTTCAGTTCAGTGCCCAAACATCCGGAACGGTTGGAAACAGTATCCGTAGTCCGAAGCCGAATTGAATTCAAATATTTAATCCAGTTAAAAATTGCCCGAGTTAGACCCGTTTATAATTGGATTGGATATGGATCTACCCTGCCAGTCCGATATCATCGCAATTTTATTTTATTTTATTTCAAGGGTAAATTGCTAAAACCTGTTATTAATGGTGCACTGAATACCAAAAAAAAAAAAAGCCTTCCTTAATTCGCATTATGTTTCATTGAATTCTATTGTTAATTAAAATACCCTTATTTATGAATTTGATCCCTCAGTTATTATAAACGCAACAAATATAATTTAAATTACTATTTTTTACTTCATTTAATTCATTATCATTAACTCTTATATTTAAATCATTAATTCTCAATCAATATTATTAAATTCTACTTTTACTTAACTAAAATACCTATAATTTTTAATTTGTCTCATTCTATCTAATTGTAAGGGTAACAACATAAAAAATACAATTTAAACTATTATTTGTCACCTTATTTAATTCATTATCATTAAGTCTTATATTATATAAGGTATTAACTTTCATTCAATCTTAGTAAATCCTTACTTTTGTTCATGGTTTTCAAAACCAGATTGGACCGGACGATCGGACTGAAAAAACCGGGAATCAGTCACCTGATTGGTTTCGTTTCCCCCCAAAACTGTTAATTTTGGTCAGAAAAGCGTTGAACCAGCCAGTTAACCATTCGAACGGTTTTGACCATTTTTCAAATTTTTTAACTTTTTTTAATTTTTTTATTTTTTATCAAAATGAACCGATTATTCGAATCGAACGATTGGACCACTCAAACCGGTAACCCAACCCCTGACCGGTTCAATTTTAAAAACCATGCTTTTGTTTGACTGAAAACACCTCTCATTTAGGCATCAAAGTTTTCTCCCTGTTGATTAGTTGCAAGATTCTCCAGAGTCAAACCCTAATATTAAACTGACTTGATTTCAGCGATATGGATGCTTGAAAGTCTTCTAGAAAGTTTCATGGTTGCAGGGTCTTGGATAGACTATACTGGCCTCATCAGTGTTGTATCTAACTCTTAATGGACTTAAGCCATAACAATTAACTTGTGGGCTTGGGCCATGCTTTGATCTTTAAACTCACCTAACTTCTATATTTTTCTACTAATCAAACAAGGGTGGTGAAAAGCAATAAAATATAATGAACAGAAAAAAAAAAAAAGAAAAAGAAAATAACTTATTGTAGCTTGACCCTCAGCACTTAATTAGTAATGATCAATCTAAATGAGCCAACGTTGGGCTTAGAGGTCACATTTATATCTTGCTGGGACAAGATTGAGTTGATCATAGACTAGTTCAGACTCAAGGCACCACCTTACCTGACAAGTCAAAGGGCCAAAGAAGTCTGTGAAGAAGCTTAAAGCCTACAAATGATCGTAGTATGATATGCTGTATATTTACTCTAGTTTTCTTGTAATGAATAAGAAAAGAAATATTTTTTTCAATTTTTGTTCATATGTTTTCTTAATACCAACGTACATATTAAGAGGTGCCAACCACACATAACATCCCCAATTATTTGTTTATTACATTCTTTCATACAATAGCACATAGTAATGCTTTGACAATCATCCAAAATAAGCCTTTACAGAAATGAAGAACGTAGGCCGTGTTTGGTTTGAAATAAAAGGTAGAAAAAGGAAAAGAAATATAGGGAAACCCATACAAGGTTTGTATAAATTTTTTTACCTTTCCCTATTTTTTTCTTTCAAATCAAACACAGCCCAAGAGTAGCTATCGCTACACCACATAAAGCATCTATCAATGACTCCATGGTAATTCCTCCGCCAATTCCTACTGATAAGAAGAGGAATAATGACAGCCCAATTATTTTCAGACCTCTAACAGACCGTTGCTTGAAAGATCAAAGGAGGCTAGATTAGAGAGATTGGAAGGAGAAAATCTCATCCCAATTATTTTCAGAAAGATCTAAACTTTCTAAGGAATTCAATTCACCCAGACATGAGCAAATTGGACCATCAATCAAGCTAGTCTTGCCCAAGAGACAAGGATAAATTAGGAAAATATGCTAGCTAGCTAGCTATTACTTAGATAATGATAAAAAAAAATTAAATGCATGGCATATTTTTGCATGAGATGAGATGGAGCTAAAATTATTAAATTACACTAGATGTTGATTTTTGGTTGTGTGGATCTCTTGGACAAAGCTAGTTAATTTTTGTGTGCATGAGCTAGTCATTTGTAATATATCAACAAAAGCTATATAGCTTGCGACCTGGATATTGATAGTAGATTTCCAATATCATCAAGATTGGTGTAAGTTAAGGACAATTGCTTGATATTGGTGGCTTAATTTGCATGCATTAATAACTTATTAATGAATATATATGCTATTAAATAATATAATAACCCTACCGTTTAAGACACCAAGGAAGGAAAGCTTGCAGATTAGACCGGATGCTCCATTATTGCGACCTTCTTACTGCATGCGACGCCAACATCTGACATCTATATATACTCAGATACTGTTCAAGGTTTCAGAGCTGTTACAGAGCTTCTTCCCAAGATTTGAATCAACGACTAAAGATTGAAGAGAGGAGATGATGCCTGCGATTGAACATAGCAGATGATCAGGAATAGATAACGCTGGCGAGTGAGACGAGACCATCTGATTCAGGAAGCACCACCGTAGGCAAATTTTTGAGGTTTTTTTTTTATGTTTTTTTTTTGTATATTAATTTTTATACAATTACTTTTTTATTTTATGCAAGTTTTCTTTTATTCTAATTCTAATCTTTGGCTGAAACATATAATTTTTTAAAATATGTGTTTTCTGTAATTTTTTTATTTTTACCTGATGTATATAATTTCTGTAATTTTTTGTTATAATTTTCTGCATCTTTTTCTTGTGATTATTGTTTTTAGTTGAAATATATAAAATTTTGAATTTTTATTGTTTTATTTATTATTCTGAATTTTTTGTTTTTGTCTGAAAAGTATATTTTCTGAATTTTTTTATCATTCATATTTTTCAGTATTTTCTATCAATTTGTGCATTTTTACAATTTTTGGCATTTTCCTGCTTTTTTTTTTTGCATTTCCTGCAATTTTTGGTATTTTATATATTTTTTACAATTTATCTTTTATATTTTTATTTATTTTCTAAGTATTTTATACACTTTCTGATGTTTTACAGGAAATATATATTTTTTACTACTTATTATGTTTTTTATGCATATATTTTCATTTAAAAAATTGATTCTTATGTTTTTCGGTTTTTGTAGTTTAAAAATATAGCCATATGCTTTTATGCAATCTGAATAGAGAATAGGTAAAAAAAGAAGGGTCTAATTTGAATAATTGAATTAGAGGGTTAGAGTGGGTTGTGACCCTCTTTAACCCACTGACATGGGTGGCAAATGGATTAGTGGATTAAAATGGGTGGATTGGTATTCAACTCACACCCAACCCAACCTTAATCCACCCATTTGCCACCCCTACAAGTACCCAGTAATGTTTATTTGTTTGCTGCACAGAAAATGAGATTAGAGACCAAGAAGGCGCAATAACTTGTAGTAGAGCATCTGGTAAGAACACAGTTGGCCCAGTTTGCATTTGAATAGCCATAGAGATCAAGAGAGGTATATGTAACACCTGGTCATATGCTGTATCAAACCCATAGAGATCAAAAGATATCTAAAGATTTTTGGTCTGTTTAATTGATGCAGCTAAATGAACTAGAAATTCCCTACCAAAATCATCAAACCCAAGAAATGCCTTCTTCCAATCATTTTTGTCCACGTCAAAAGTCAAATGTTTCAGACCCAATCCTCAGTCGCAGCACCAAGATGTGAATGTATATATCATCAATATCTCCTCTAGCTCTTACATGTAGGAATGGCAGCGGGGCGGGAGCCTCTCCCCATTCCCGTCCCTGTTACCGTCTCCACTAACTGGTACAAAGTTATTCTCATTCCTGTTTTAATGGGGATTTTCATTCCTCATGATTTTTTATAATGTTAATCATTTTGTTTTTGTTTTTTATTTTATTTAAAAAAATAAAATTAAAATAATTAAAATTTACAATCTTATTAAAAAAGATTCAATCATAATTTTAAACGTATGCACACACATGCATATATATTAGTAGGGATCCCATGGAGCGGGGATCGGACTTCTCGTAGGGCAGGGAGTGCTCTCCCCGTCACCGCTAACAGGGATGAAAATTTCCCTATCTCCATCCCCGCAGGGGAAAAATCATCCCCATTTGGGACGGATCCCCATGGGGATCGAGAAAATGGGAAAAATTTCCATCCCTACTTACATGCTTTGAGGACCTCAAATCATCCATTCCCCTACTAGAGTCCAATGGACCCCGATAGAGCGGACTACTTGTTCTATCTTCTAAGCATGGGGCTACACAACAAGTTAGCCCATTCCTCATATCCATAATTAACTGTAAGTATGGGCCGGTTTGGTTGCTTTGTAATTTATCTTGTAAGGATCGATTTTGGACTTAGAGATTTCAGGGTTTACCTATGTGGATGTCTGGGATAAGGAACTTTGACACTTAAGTTAGTAAGTTGTCAAGCTTTCAAGGTGGTAGAAAATGCACAAGTAGGACAGTAAATATGCGTATATGTATCTTTGGAGGGTGGAGGCTTACCCTTATATAGACCTCGAGGCTCGGCTAAGATGTGGCAAGAGGGGCAAGTTAGGCAACTGACTCGCTCAAGTGGTTGATGGATGCTCTACGAGATATAGCCATACGGCATGGAAGCTGTCTTTGTCTACTTCCCTGCGAAACAGGGGGAGCGGACTTATATCCTTGTTTCAAACCGGTCATTCTGTGAGGACGAGGAGTAAAGAGAGCTCGTCATGTAGGTCAGAGGTGTACTAAGGTTAGAGAGGTTCCTCAGTTTGCGGGTTGTCCTGTAATCTGATCTGACAAAGTGTCTTTAGGCAAGGTTGGAGTCTAATTGTCCTGTAATCTGATACAAGTA